CCTGGTTTCCATGGGGAAATTCTATTTCTACTAAAAATACAAAAATTAGCTGGGCATGGTGGTGTGCACCTATAATCCCAGCTACTCGGGAGGCTGAGGCAGGAGGATCACTTGAGCCTGGGAGGTGGAGGCTGCCGTAAGCCAAGATTGTGCCACTGCACTCTGGCCTGGGCAACAGAGAGAGACTCCATCCCCTGTACCACCAAAAAAAGAATATATTTTGAATGGTATAAAAATGCACAGCCCAATAGAGTGGTCACAAGCCACATGTGGCAATTGAGCACTTGAAATGTGTCTACTGCAATTGTGGAACCATTTTTCATTTTATTTAATTTTAATTCCAATTTAAGAACTTATACTTAAACGAAGCAGGGGGCACCTTTCTCTGCAGGCATGCTGACCTTGTCAGCAAACAGCCTGCTCATGTGTTCTCTAATTTAATTCAGTAATGTTTATAAAATTATAAATTACAAGTTTAAGTGTAATTTCAGTCATGCAGTTTGCTTTTATGTAATCACCAGTTAGTTAATTTTAATTCACGTTCTGTTACAGTTTCTACAGTGAGATGTCCATTGTTTGTAATATTTTCTTATTTGTTGTTCTTTAGCTAGGCAAACATCATAAAGAGCTACAGAAATTAGTGGATACTTTGCCGTCAATTAAGCATAAGGTACTATATGTTTTCCATAATTACTTGAAATGTACTTTTATGTTTCAGTCTCAGAGTGGAGACATTACCAAGGCACTTTGAATTGGGAAGTTTAATTACGTGAACTGTATTGAGCCTTAGAAGAAAACTGTCATTTATGATTCCAGGGGACAGATGTCATGATTCTGTGGGTAGGCAGTGAGCTTTTTGGTTTTGCCGCGGTGCCGCTGAGGACTTGGGGACTCAGGAACATATTGCTGTCCCCTCCTCTGTTCCTGACACCAGCTCCTTCTAAGTCCTTGTGAACATACCAGAGCAGCCTTCTTGTCTGTAACTGCCATCCCACAGGCAGGGAGCAGAGAGCAGTTCTACGGAAACTTGCCTTGTCCAGCTGGAAAGAACAATGACCCACATCCTTCAGGTCGGATGCCTTTGTCTAGTCCCCCAATATTAATTCTTCAATATTCAGAATCTCAAAGGGCTGCTCTGTGGAGGCCCATATATTCTCCTTCTCCCTCTCATCCCCCACTGTATCCCTCTGGTCCCCACCTCTTTCCCTCTCCTTTCCTCTCTGGAAGCCCATATATTATCTCCCCCCATCCCCCACTCTCTCCTTCTGGTCCCTACCTCTTTCCCTCTCCTCTCTTCTCCTCTCCTCTCCATTTTCCTCTTTTTCCCTCTCTTTCCTTTCAGTCCAGGTTTCTGGCTCCTCCTGATCTGCATTTCTTCCTAAAAGGACAAGTCTCAGTTAGCCTCTCTTGAAAATGCAAAGCCTCCTTCTTTATGCAATGGCCGCTGTCTGAAACCTCTCAACAAAACTCAGAGGAGACTGACTACCTGATGTAACCTCACTAGAATTGAGAGATCAAATGGTTTTGGCTGTTTTCCTACTGTGGAATATAAAAAATACACAGTTAATTGCAGAAACAAAGCCTGGACATGATTCCATCCTAAGCAGCGATTCTTCAGGAAGCTGCCCAGAAAGGCCCGGAGCTCCTCTGGACCACTGCTCATCTCCAGATACTCCCTGAGAACCATCACCTCGTTGTCCGATTCCTGAGTGGTTTTCACCACTAAATAATGACTCAGTTATCTCTTCTCTTGGTCAGGACACCCTTGTGGAATTTGGGTCATTTGACCCTTCCTGCCTGATGCCTACCTGCCCAGATTACTGGACCTACTCAGGGTCTCTGACTACCCCACCCCTCTCCGAGTCTGTCACCTGGATCATTAAGAAGCAACCAGTAGAGGTTGATCACGATCAGGTACGTTCTCTCCACAATTTCAATCTAAGGAAATCCTTGTCTGCCCATTTAAAACAAGGCTGGGCTCAGACTGTGGCATCAGTTTTAACATCTTGTAATGCTTATACATTTCTATTGAAGTGTACCAACGTCTTGTCTCAGTTTGGACATGAATTTGGGGATGTTTCAAATAAACTAGAGAGAAGAGTTAAAACACAGAAGAACATAAGCTTTTTACATCTATATTTGACAATTACATATGTCTTCTTATGCCTTGTGTATTTTATATATAAATATTAAACTCTACAAAATCAAGACCCTTTTAAAGGAAAGAGTGAAGGCTGGAAATGAATGTGTTCAAAAGTCTTTAAAATCCTTAAGGGAATTCTACTATAGAATCTCAGAATAAATATAGAATTCAACAGTGTTTGTCCAGAAACTTTAATGTAAGTTCGTTTTTTGAACTTGGGTTCTGTTTTTCCCTTAGAAACTAAGCCTAAGTAGTAGTTACTATGCAAACACTCAAAATCTTGTATAATGTATAATGTAGCTAAACTACAATAATATTTACTCATACTTGTTTTATGGGATTTTTATTGATTACAAAGCATTCTCATAAGAGAAAAAACTTCCAAATTCTTTTTATGAAGCCAGCATAACTGATACCAACACTCACCAAAGATTGGAACCCCCTCTAAAGAATATAAAAGAAAAAAAAAGCTAAAAAGAAAGTATTAGAAACAGAATCCAGCAGATTCATCAGAAGAAATAGACACTTTGTCCAAGTAGCTTTTACTCCAGTAATACGAGAATGGTTCATTGTTAAGAATGATATTAATATAATTCATTCTATCAGTGGATCTAAATAGAAAAATCATATTATCATTTCCAGGGAAGTTAAAAAGACATTTGTAAAAATCACCATTCCGTTTTTGAAAATTTTTAATAAAACAGAGCTGAATAGAGACTTCCCTATCTTGATAAAAGGGATTGATCTCAGTTCAAAAGCAAACAATAGGTTTTGAATGGAAAGGATTGTTACCGTATTAAGTTTTATATTAAGTTATTCATTCTGGAAGTAGCCAGTGCAGTTAGACCAGAAAATAAAAAATAAATTAGAGAAACAATTAAAAACTACTACAAAAATCAGAGATAATTTGGTAATCAGTGGAATACAATATTAATTTCTAGAAATCAATACATTTGACATACATAAATCACAATCAGTTAAAAGATATGATATAAAGATATAATGTAAGAAGGGCCCCTATTTATAATGGAAACAAAAATATAAAATACTTTGGAATAATTTTAACAAGGAAAGTTAATAAGAAAACTTAAAATGTTCCTGGAGGATACAAAAGAAGGCTTGAATTAATAAAGTTAACACATTATAGGATCAAAAGACATAAAGACACCTTTTTTGTCATAAATTACAACCTAAGTTGTCATTCTCCATGACTTGTTTATTCACCATAAATTTAATGTGTTCCAATAAACATGCCAATAGGATTTTTAAATCGATATGCTATTTCTAAACTCATGAATAAAGACAAACACATAAATAGCCAGGGAAAATTCTAGAAAAATACGGGATAATTAGACTCACAAGGTTATAAAGCCTCAATAATTAAATAGCATGTTACTGGCACATGGATAAAGAGATCTATCGAGGGAAGTATATTAGCATTCTCCATAGAAACAGAACCAATAGGATAGATATTGTATTAGTCCATTTTCACACCGCTATAAAGAACTACCTGAGACTGGGTAATTTATGAAGAAAGGATGTTTAATTGACTCATAGTTCCACAGGCTTAACAGAAAGCATGACTGGGAGGCCTCAGGAAACTTAAAATCATGGCGGAAGGCAAAAGGGAAGCAAGGACCTTCTTCACATGGTGGCAGGAGAGAGAGAGAGAGATGGGGGAAGTGCCACACACTTTTAAACCATCAGATCTCGTGAGAACTCTTTCACTATCATGAGAACAGTGAGGAGGAAATCCACCTCCATGATCCCCTCCCCTGACACAGGGGGATTATAATTGAATGTGGGATTTGGGTAGGGACACAGGGCCAAACCATACCAGATATAGATAAAGATTAAAAAAAATTAAAAAAGACAAAGTTGATAAAGTTAGATAAATAACCCTATAAGGGTTAAATAACCTTAACTCTATAACCCTATAAAGATAAATAAAGAAAAAGATAGATAAAGTTTTATCATAAGGTATTGGCCATGTGATTATGGAAACTAAGAAGTCTTACAATCTGCCATCTGCAAGCTAGAGACCCAGGAAAGACAGTGGTGTAGTTCAAAGGCCTGAGAACTGGAGAGCTGATAATGTAGATTTCTATCTTGGTCTGAAAGCCTGAGAACCAGGAGCTCTGAAGAAAGGAGACAATTGATGTTCTAGCTCAAGCAACCAGAGCAAATTCAACCTTCCTCTGCCTTTTTGTTCTATTCAGACCCTCAATTTATTGGATGATTCCCATCCACTTTGGGGAGGGCCATTCTCTTTACTCAGTCCACCAATTCAAATCCTAATCTCCTCCAGAAACACCTTCATAGACATACGTAGGCATAGTATTTAACCTGTCTGTGCATCCCATGGCCCAATCAAGTTGACACATAAAATTAACCATCACAGGAAGAAAATAATAATTTCAGAAATATGTCCAAATACATATGAGAATTTATTTTATGATAAATATAGCATCTCAACTCAGTTGGCAGGAAAGATAGAGTATTTGGTAAATGCTGTTGAGGAACAATTGAGCAGGCATTTGGGGGAAAAATTGGATCCACCATGCAGACCTTACACAAGAATACATTCCAGATATATACCACCATAAAAGTACTAGGATAAGCATAGGAAAATCCTTTTATGCCTGCAAATGTATAGGCTTTGTGGCCTGTACATTTAGTCTGTTTCTATTGTTTGGATTAAAAAATTGACATATTTCCTCAACTTATTTTCATTCTAGAAAAACAAATGGACATAACATTGAAAAACAAAGTAAATACATCAGAGGGTCAGTGGCCCATGTGAGGACTTTGTAAATACAATTTCAACGAAATTTTAAAATTTATTTTTCAATTATATAATTTAAAATTTTATTTTGTATTTTCTGGTCTAACTGTACTGGCTACTTCCAGAATGTAATTTAATATAAAACTTATGGTAACACTGAAAATTTAGTAAGGAAAACAATGCTAGCTGTCATCTATAATATTATTCTAGTTGCCTATAATTTTACCACTATCATTGTTTGGGGAAATCCTTCTGGTCTCTTGTCTATCCAGATGCACGTAAGTCCTTCTGGTCTTTTATCTACATAAATATACACAATTTTTGTATGAAAATGAAATCATTCTGTACATACCATTTTGCTGCTCTTTTCACTCAGTGATGCCTGGAACTTTTTTTTTTTTTTTTAAGACAATCTCTAGCTGTTGCCTGGGCTGGAGTGTAGTGACACGATCTCGGCTCACTGCAACCTCTGCCTCCCGGGTTCAAGCAATTCTCCTGCCTCAGCCTCCCGAGTAGCTGGGATTACAGGCGCCCACCACCACACCCAGCTAATTTTTTGTATTTTTAGTAGAGACGAGGTTTCACTATGTTGGCCAGGCTGATCTGAAACTCCTGACCTCGTGATCCACCCGCCTCAGCCTCCCGAAGTGCTGGGATTACAGGCATGAGCCACCGCACGCGGCCGCATGGAACATTTTATAGATAATGAACATCTTCAGTATTTTTAAGGACTGTATACTAGTTCATTTCATAGATAGATGTCATTTATCTTTGATACTTAGACTATTTCTAATCTTCTGCAATTAGCTGAATAAAAAGAAACATTAACTGCTTGTACAGCTTCCTAATTAGTGAGGGCTTTTGTGTAATTTGCCGCTGTGTGATAAACATTGCTTGTTTTCAGTCCTAGTTCTGCCTCTTCAGCTCTATTTGCCCTGAAGCCTTTGTTGCAAATGACTCTTCACTTGCTTGTCTACTGTGCCCCAGGCTGTCTTCTCAGTTTGAATGAGGGGAATGTGAATGGATTTTCCTGCTGGCCTGAAGTAAAATATTTCCTTTTTTTTTTTTTTTTTTTTGACATGGAGTTTTGCTCTTTTTGCCCAGGTGGGAATCCAGTGGCGCGATCTCAGCTCACTGCAACCTCCGCCTCCTGGGCTCAGTAGCTGGGATTACAGGCATGCGCCACCACGACCGGCTAATTTTATAATTTTAGTAGAGACAGGGTTTCATCATGTTGGTCAGGCTGGTCTTGAACTTCTGACCTCAGGTGATCCGCCCGCCTTGGCCTCCCAAAGTGCTGGGATTACAGGTGTAGGGCACCACGCCCAGCCTAAGTAAAGTATGTCATAACATAATTGGGTCTGAAACCAAGGGGCTACTGGTCGATACTGCTGCTACATCAGAGAACAAGCCGTTGATATTCTGGGTTGCTCCTTTTGCATTGAGCTATATTGTCTAATGTTGTAACCACTGGACACATGTAACCATTTACATTTAAATATAAGTACATTAAAAGTAAAATTCAGTTCCTCAGTTACACTGGCCACATTTCAAGTGCCCAGTAGCCATATGTGGCTTGTGACTACCGTAATGGACCATGCAGAGGACAGTTCCATCATTGCAGAAAGTTCTATTGGACAGCACCAGCATAGAGAATCCTGTCTCCAGTTAAGACACCTACATGCAGCCTGGTGTGGTAGCTCACACCTGTAATCCCAGCACTTTGGGAGACCTAGGTGGGAGGATCACTTGAGGCCAGGAGTTCAAGACCAGCCTCGGCAACATAGAGAGACCCTGTCTCTACAAAAAATTTAAAAATTGGCTTGGTGTGGCGGCATGTGCCTATAATCCCAGCTAGTTGGGAGGCTGAGGTGGGAGATCACCTGAGTCCCAGAGGTTGAGCCTACAGTGAACCATGATCACACCACTGCACTCTAGCCTGGGTGACAGAGTAAGACTTTGTCTTAAAAAAAAAAAAAAAAGGAAAGGAAAAAATAAAGACATCAATATGCATTGCTTTGCCCACAATACCCAGGTGCAGTGAGCAATCAGTAATACTTATTTTATGTTAATGATTCAGTTAAATTGTTTTATAAACCCCCTTTTTTTGGTGGTGTTAGTATATGCATCAGACCTTTCCTTTCTCATTCTGTAAACTGGCTCTTTTGCTTATTTAAAGAGGAGGTTCTTGAGAATGAAAGAGATTAATTAACTCATCATCCTTGGTAAATGGATAATATGTGGGGACAGGGCCTTTGCCCCAAGTCTTTGGATCCCAAGGGCCCTCCTGGTTTCACCACCTCCTGCTGCTCTCCTCCCCACAGGACCACCATCAGGATCACCACCACCACTGGGCATTTTATTCCCTGTCAAGTGGTGAAGGCATTCTTACCCAGAAATAACTTCTCCTTCTGTATCTAATTTGCAAGGAATGCTCAGAATTGTAAAAATGAAAGTAATTTATTCACGAGGTAAAGCAAGTTTTCTATTGAAATTATTTATGCTTTCTGTTTCTATTTCTAGCTTGAGCAATTTCGAACCCTGCTTTTCACTTCTGAAGGGGAGAAGGAGAAAAGAATGGTGGACAACTTCCGCCCTCTTCAGCCACTGATGAATCGCACTGTCCGTTCATCCTTCCGGCATGATTATGTGCTGAATGTACGAGCGAAATCCAAGCCGGTGACCAGCCAAGCAACCTCCTAAAACGTGCATATCTAGGCAGTATTTTGCTTTTGCTATAATATATACTAGCTTACTAAAAATTGTTAACTAGACTATTCTAAGTGCCTGCATTTGATAATATTTACAGATGAGCATTTCTTAGCATGAGAGTGCTTCATCAGTCTTTGAGGAAAGTGATTCGGTACCAGCTAAGAGACACAAGTTTCTCTTGCAGCTACCTGTTGGTAATTGTAATGCCTTTTTGTTTTTTCTTTTTTTCTTTTTTTTTTTTCTTTAAGAGACTAGATCTTGCTCTGTTGCCCAGGCTAGGGTGCAGTGGCCCAGTGATAGCTCACTGCAGCCTTGAACTCCTAGGCTCAAGCAGTCCTCCTGCCTTAGCCTCTGGAGTAGCTGGGGCTACAGGTGCTGGCCACCTGGCCCGGCTTGTAATATCTTTTTATGTCTGACATTTTTGAGCTATCTTTTTTATGTTTATCCATTAGTGGTTCTATAGCACTATACGTAGGGATTATAATCAAAAGTAAAGCACAGACACTGACCAGAACTCAGGCCTTTCAGAAACAGCCTGTTGGCCCAGACTGGTACTTCCTGGCTGAACATTGGCCATGGTTTTAGATGTATTTTATTTTATAACATGAATGTGTATTCTTTCATAAGGGCTTATCAATCAGTATATTATATTTGCCCCAGTGTTTAGTTGTTACAAGGACATGATACGCTTACTATCGATTTATGATGTAGAAAATATATTTTGTAATTATAAGAAAATAAGACTTTTCCTATACCCAGAAATCCCTTTGCATTTCTGAAGATCAGATATTTTACTTAAAGGTCTGATCATATAGGAAATATATGCAGAATATTTTAAAGAAAATGCTTGGCTGGGCACAGTGGCTCACACCTGTAATCCGGCACTTTGGGAGGCTGAGGCGGGAAGATCACTTGAGGTCAGGAGTTCGAGACCAGCCTGGCCAACATGATGAAACCCTGTCACTACTGAAAATTAAAAAAATTAGCCAGGCATGGTGGTGGGCACCTGTAATACCAGCTACTCGGGAAGCTGAGGCTGGAGAACCGCTTGAACCTGGGAGGTGGTGGTTGCAGTGAGCCAAGATCGCACCACTGTTCTCTAGCCTGGGCGACAGAGTGAGACTCCGTGTCTAATAAAAAAGAGAAGAGAAGAGAAAAGATGCTTACAGTGCCTAGAACTTAGAATTCTTTCATTGTACATTTCCAGAAATATTTTTCAAAGGACTAGTAATCTAATAGCCTATGTTTTATAATATTATTTTGTATTATTTGCACACTGTTACATAGTATATAATGATAATGTTTTCTACAGTGAAAGAGCTATCCTGTCTTCACTTTACAACTGTCTGAACTTTACTCATTAGTCAAGGTTCTTTGCAAGGCAGGTGATTAACTTAAATCTCTCAGTTTATACAGTGCTTTAAAAAACTTTTGTTATGGTAATAGGGAGAGAAACTTGTCAGATAGGCTAAAATCTAGATAATTCTACATATTCTGAGGAATTCATGCCCCCGTGTCTCTTGCTTATAAATATCTTGGAATGTTTCCAAATGCGTCTAAGCCTATGTTCAGACTCAGTGTTGCATCAATGACTGGTAGTAGTTCTTTCATTAATATGTTTGTCATCTGGTCTGCAAGATAGGGTTGGATGAATATACTTAACACTACTGACTGTACACTTAAGATGGTTAGGAAGGAAATGGGACTACATCAAACTTAAAAATTTCTGTGTGTCAAAGGAAGCAATCAACAAAGTGAAAAGGCAAGCTCTAGAATGAGAGAAAATAATTGCAAATCATAGATCTTATAAGGACCCCAAATCCAGAATATATGAGGAACTTCTGTAACTCAACAACAAGAAAACCAAATAACTCAATTTTTAAAAATGGGCAAAGGACTTGCACAGACATTTCTCCAAAGAAGATATACAAATGGCCAATAAGAACATGAAAATATGCTCAACATTGCTAATTATTAGGGAAATATAAATCAAAATCACAATGAGTTATCATCTCACGCCCATCATGTTGGCCACTATCAGAAGAACAAAAAAATAACAAGTATTGGGGAGAATGCAGAGAAGTTGAAACTCTTGTGCACTGTTGGTGGTAATGTAAAATAGTGGTCATGGAAAACAGTACACGGGTTTCCCAAAGAACTGAAAACAGAATTACCATAAGAATTACCACCAAAGCGGGATCTCAAAGAGATATCTGTACACCCATGTTCATAGCAGCATTATTTACAATAGCCAAGAGGTTCTGGAAGCATCCCAAATGTCCATCAACTGATGAATGGATAAAGAAAATGTGGTATATACGTTCAATGGAATATTATTCAGCCTTTAAAAAGAAGGAAATGCTGTCAAATGTACAATGTGGATGAACCTTGAAGGCATTATGCCAAGTGAAATAAGCCAGCCACAAAAGAACAAATACTGTATGATTCCTCCATGTGAAGTGTCCAAAGTAGTCAAGATCATACAATAGAAAGTAGAAAGGTGGTTGCCAAGGGTTGGGGGAAGGGGAGAGGGTGAATTTGTATTTAGTGGGTACAGAGCTTGTGTTGCAAGAATTCTAGAGATCTGTTGCAAAACAAAGTGTGATTGTACTTAACACTACTGAACTGTATACATATAAGTTTGAGAAATATCTCTTTTAAAAAGGGGGAAATGTGAAGGCTTTTGCATGTATGCCCTAGGAAATGCATAAAATTCTTTTTTTTTTTTTTGGAGCGAACTTCCGCTCTTGTTGCCCAGGCTGGAGCGCTATAGCGCCATCTCAGCTCACTGCAACCTCTGCCTCCCAGGTTCAAGCAATTCTCCTGCCTCAGCCTCCTAAGTAGCTGGGATTACAGGCGTACGCCACACGCCCAGCTAATTTTTGTATACTTAGTAGAGACGGGGTTTCACAGCGTTGACCAGGCTGGTCTTGAACTTCTGACGTCAGGTGATCCACCCACCTTAGCCTCCCAAAGTGCTGGGATTACAGGCGTGAGCCACCGCGCCTGGCCGGAAATGCGTGAAATTCTTAAAAAGGTAAACATGGTAAAAAGAGAAGTCTTTGTTAATTTTCTGCAGTTCACCTGTTTCGAAGTATAGTTACCTTTAAAAGGGTAAACACACAAGATATGCATTTTCCAGAGCACACAGGCTTTCCTCCTAGCTGTCTTGTGAAATGATCAGTGCAAAACCCTACTGCACTGAGTTTTCCAAATTGAAGGGAGAAGCAATGTACAGAATGCTGACTTGCCCTTACCTCTTATATCTGGTGTTCTGGCGTGATTATTAACCACACTCTTTTTCACTTTGAACCATGTCCTGGTTTGCATGGCCACCTTCCCTGCAGAGGTGATAGAAGCTGACTTGAGGCAGTTTCTTTCTCCATGCCTTAGTTAGATGACCCTGAAAGGGGCACGGCCGATTTCCCTGGCTACTGATACACCTTAACAACAAGCTTGTGTTTTTCATGCCCTCAAAAGTGTTTTACTTGCACTTTCCTAGACATAAAGGTGGAAAATTGGGCCTAAGGTCTGTCAAAGGTCTTGGAAAAGAAGATTGTATTAAAATTGCTGCCCATCTTCATTAAATAATACTAGCTCAATGAAAGCCTTTCTTTACAATATTAGTGGTTGGTGAAAGACTTCCTTCCTATTGTTTCAGTCTATATATATGTCTGTAAATTAATGAGATATCCTTTAACAGGTTCAGTGTACACTGGTTACCAACCTGTCTTGAGTCCAGTGTGACAGAACACACTCATACCCAATACATTACATGAAGCAGATGTATTACTTACAGACAGGAAGCAAGGGACAAAAGAGGCCCTGGCTCCATGGTGAGCCAGTACCCCAGGGCTCAAGAAAGCTGCCCGGGGCAGGGCTGATGGAGTCTTGAAGTTCGTGCCCCACTTGCACCATAGCCTGCCTTGGGTTATATACCATAGGAGCCACATAACTCATTGGGCAAAGCTTTAAAGGACATCCTGCTTCCAGGAGAGAGAGGAACACAACTGGCTATCTCAAACAGTTCCTCCCTAACTCAAGATGTTACATTCCTTAGGAGGGACAAGAACAGGGCCAGGCTGTTTCAGGCAGTTCCTCCATATCAGGACATTGCATTCTCAGTGCCTTCTACAGTTATTCTTAAGAACTCCAAGCAAGGAAGAAGGGAGAACTGGGTCAGTCCAAGGCCACCTGGAGAACTGTCTTGTACATGGGTTAGGGTAAAGTTGGCTGTTCTAAAACCAGGCATCCACCCAAAAGAAGTCTTGGAAGACATCTTTCTCTGTTAAATTCAAACGATGGTAATTATAGTTCGGAAATGGAATTGGCTTTTAGAGTTACATCTGTAATGAAATTAATAAGCAATTCAGGCCTATTTCTGAAAATGAATTCAGTGGTTAATTGTTAAAAATAAATGTCTAACTCCTATAAAAGGAAATTTACATCCATTTCGAACTCACTAAAAAATCTATGGCTGGGTGCAGTGGCTCATGCCTGTAATCCCGGCACTTTGGGAGGCCAAGGCAGGCAGATTACCTGAGGTCAGGAGTTCAAGAACAGCCTGGCCAATATGGTGAAACCCCATCTCTACTAAAAAATACAAAAATTAGCCGGGTGGTTGTGGCACGCACCTGTAATCCCAGTTACATGGGAGGCTGAGGCAGAAGAATCGCTTGAGCCCAGGAGACGGAGGTTGCAGTGAGCCGAGATTTCTTAGAAGGAATTGTTATTTATTGTTCTGAAGTGAAAGTCTGGTCTGATTCATAAGAAATGTTACAACAGCTCAAACACTGATGCGTTCAGAATGGGCAGCAATTCTCAGCGTAAATTCTCTTCGCAAGGACCAGCAAAATTGGTGACTTGCATAGCTACAACATTCTGTGCCATCCAGGGCACTCTACTTTGGGGATACAACTGCCGAACCTCCAACTAGACAGTTTAGTTTAAGATTTAGTCAAGAAACAGAAAGGTGAAAGTGACAATGTGTAGTAAACCATGATAGATGTTATGAAAGGTGGAATGCTTGTACTGGAAATGCATACAGTGCCTCAC